TTTTTTTTTTTTGAATAAAAATCCATTGCAGGCACGTTTTTTGACGGAAGCTTTCTGTCATTTACGGCCTGGGCTGTCACTGATGGGACTTTGGGGTACCATGAACCAAACAAAACGACTGCAAGTTTTCCATAAATTTAACAACAAAACAACGGGTGCTGCGATGATCGCGACCGATGTGGCTAGTAGAGGTCTGGATTTTGCACGCGTGGATTGGGTCGTTCAGTTGGATTGCCCGGCAGATGTTGATGACTACATACACAGGTCTAGAGACTTATCACTTTTTTCTTTGTCCTCTGAGAGCTAGTAATACTACATGAAATTGTATTAGAAAATATGAATGTTGATTTTGGTAAGGTTCCTAAACTTTGGGTTAATTATCGTTTGATAATTACTTATTTGTAGTATTCTACAGCTGAAGTTCATAATTTCCTTGTCTGTCGATGTGTCGATGCTTCAGACAGCTTTTCGACTTGCTTTGACTAATGCTGCATCGTCTGTTGGTCCGTCTGCTGGCGATCTTAGCGCTCTATTCGTCTCTTGAAGGAATTATCAGCTCTGAGCTCTTGAAGGAATTACCAAGGAATTACCAGCTCAGTGGTCCCCGACAAAAGCATTTGCAAGAACGGGGGATCCGCACATCGATTGTCTAAGCGATTTTAGCATGCGGTTTGTTATTTCAATTTCCAAATTCGAGTTTACTTATTTGTGTTACAGAGTGGGACGTACAGCACGCATGGATGCGGAGGGTGAAGCGGTATTAGTACTTACACCAGCACAAGAAACGGGAATGATTGCTCGTTTGCAGTCAAGAAATATTGCAGTCACAAAAATCAGGTTCGATTTAGCAGTTTCGAACACGATGCAGTTGCAGGTATCGCTGCTGTAGTGCTTGGAGATTGGAAGCTCGACTTTTTCGCCCCTTCTGCGACTCATTTATTCATTTCGATGATAAATTTACAGTGACGCATACCAGAAAGACAAAACCGCCATCAATTTACTTTTAAGCAACCGTCGAAAGAGAGGGAAGGGGGGGGGGGCTACTGCCAGAGCGCAGTTGCTGTTGGCGTTTGGCCCTTTCGAAATAACTACAAATATATTCATCTCCCGTAGAAAATAAATATGAAACAGTTTTTGAATTTCGGCTTTGACTTATTAAAATTGTATGGGATTGCGTTGGGCAAATCATTTCTATTTAAAACATCTATAACCGAGCTTTTCAGCGTTGATGAGAAACATCTAATGGATATAAGCAGGCGATTGCAGTCGACCGTTGCTCAGTATCCAAATATGAAGGACTTTGCGCAACGAGTAATTTTTTGCTTCTCTTTTTTAAATTTGTATGTTTCCGCTTCCAATTACCTAAGTCACCAGTGCGCATAGGTAGTGCTACCCGGCACTCCTGGCAGAGTGCCAAGTGGCATTGGTGAGCGGCGCTGCAAAATAGTGTTAACAGCGGAGCTGAAGTAGCGGCCGAACGAGTTTTTAGTAGTTTCCTGCGGACATCATCACTGCATTCCGCTTGCCGTTTTGCCAGAAGTGTAGGGTAGTGTAGTGCTATCCATCGTACGACGGCTATTAACGCCTGGTAGGGGTTTGCACTTTTGGAGGAGGGTATTGGTGAGTGGGTTCCCAGGTGCAGCTCCAGGGCCAAGGGTTGGGGCAGGAAAGAGGAGAGAAACAAGGACACAGGTAAGGAGCGCAGTACGATTAATGGTGACAGTGGCTGAAGGGGCGATGGGTGATGTGTGCTCTGATGCAGCTGCGGAGGCAGGATTTGAGGACAAGATAAGGAAGAGGAGCAAGGGTACTAGTAAGAAGTTCGAAACAAGAACTGGAGACAGTCCTAGGGAGCAAGGAATAACACAGTAGCGCGAAGAAAATCTGAATTTATGAAAGAAAATATTTCCTTAAATATTTCCCTTGTGAGTTGTTGCAGAGTTTTGTGGCTTATGTCCGGGCGATTTCTCTGATGCGTTACAAAGACGTCTTCAATGTGAACTCAATTGATTTTACAGCCTTAGCAAAGTAAACTTTTTCAAATCGGTTTTCTTTCCTTTTCGAAAAATTTCTATTATCTCGTAAAAATCAATGTGTAAAAGTGCCGGCATGACCCCAGGCAAATTTCTTATAACGCACTGACTTAAAGAAATTGACAGTTAAGTCTTCCGCCACTGAGAATTAAACATGCGTCATGGTTCTTCAGCTTGAGATTGCACATCGAAAAGTTGTCGGTTGCGCACGTTTCATTGCATACTCGATTTTCTCAAGATTTTGCATTGGAGGAACCACACCTACTTTGACAGCGCCACTGCGCTGAAGGCGGAGGTGCGGGTGACGAAAGCTGAAGAGGAAACGCAGTGCAATGTAACTAGAGTGCTTGGACTGTCTCTTTGTGGTTGTGTGAATAATCATACTTTACGAGAGATGAGTGGCGTGAAGGATGGTATTGCATCTACGCGAGGAGGTTGAATCCGACCGCAGGACATGTTGCTCACCTTGCCGGCAACCAACGGGCATCACCGATTAGTGACTGATAGCCGTGAGAAACTAAGCGACTATTCTGCGACTCCCGAAGATGTAGCGCACGTACATTGAGCAGGAAGTAGAGTAGGTGCTAACTGAAAACGTCAAGTTCGAAGCATAAAGGTTTGTCGTAGTTGCTTAAGCAACTGGGTACATCTCGGTAATATCAGTAATACCGGATCTCCACACTGATTGTCCAGGTGAAGTCAGTAATTTTTATGCATTTTTTGCAGCTTTTCAATGCAGAAAACGTATACTGACGAGGGGTTGTTTTTGTCAATGCAAAAAATGTGTTCTTCAGATCATATGGTCTTGCTATGGCACCGCGAGTCCGATTTCTCAGGCGTACTGAAAAACGTGCTGTGAAATCTGGTCAGAGAAGCGAAAAAACTGCCGACGAGCTCCTAGAAATGATGCTTGCCAAGCGGGAGCAAAAGTCGAAGATTAAACCCGACGATGATTTGGTTACTTTTTAATATATCATTTTTACAAGTTTTAGTTAATGTATTCATTTATTTATGATGTCTTGTCTATCCATTCATCCCTCTGTGTGTACGTGTGTATGTGCGTGTGTGCATATATGTACGTATAGTTCAGTGTATGTACGTACGATTATGTGTGTGTGAGTGTATACATATGTATGCAGACATATATATATATATGTGTGTGTATGTATACATATGTATGTGTATATATATATACATTATACATTTTTGTGTATGCATGTGTATTTACACGTGGGTTACGTCTGTGTCTGTATGCATGTATAAGTTCTGCGCGTTTGCTGTAGTAACAAAAGTTATCCGTAAAAAGACTGGACGAAATGGGCCGTTGAGGGAAGATTCATTGGATTTCATCCTCACAAACAGCATATAATTTCATACAACACAGAGTAAAAGGGGGCTGAAGAGGAGCAATATTCTTACAATGTGGATAGGCATGCAGATACATTACAGATGGAATTTATCTGAAAAATGAACTGTCGCTTATGAAGTTGGTTAAAGTTTTTTTAAGTGCCAATTTTTTCAGGCATTTATTTTCGATAAAATTAAATGTCTAGGTACATAGGTGACGCGAGAAATGAACTTTCAGGGATGGAATGAAATAGAAAAAGGACAGGGAACAAGTGGCGCTGACTTCGACAACGATGAGACGGAGCTAGGATTAGGCACAAGCAAAGAGGGAGAAAATGATGTGTGCCGAAGATGGGATGATTTCGGCGAGAATAAAAAGGACGAGGAAGAGGATGAATTGTTGAAATTGTCGCGTCGAGATATCTTTAATATGCTTGACGACAAGGTTTTCAACTGAATCTTTTGTGCTTTTGAGCAAAATCCAAATTTCCCGACTTTACATCTAAAATGCGGTTATCCGTGAGATGGAATGGGCAAATTGCTCTAGCGGTATGTGCGCAAATCTCGTTTTTCTTGTGAGAAATTGTCCGACTGTTGGGCAACTCGTGTCGAACGGACGGTAATCATTAACTGAAGATGTGCAGCTTACGTACATTGAATAGAGAGTAAAGTATTAACCGACGATGTGCAGCTCAAAATCAAAGACCTGGTTTATTGTCTGCAAGAAGCATTGGTGCATCCAGGGGGGGGGGGGGGGGGGGGGGGGGGGG